GGGGGTTTACTAAAGCTGGTAACTTAACATGAAAAGTAGATTGACAGGGTGAAGTCATGCCCATTAGCTGCACAGATAATGTTTCGCGTAGCTAACACACACACACACACATTCTTAACAGGACTACACCTACAACAAGCCAAGTCCAAATGTGTGAAGAGATGAGCTTATCGTTTGTTTTTGTACAAAAGGCACATGTATAGGCTATCGCAGCTGCCTGGCTCCTATGGAAACACTTTGAGAATGTGTCAGCGTTTATCCAGCAGACGTAAATATCACGCAAAAGTTACTTCAAAAGTCCAGCTCGCTTTGTTAGGCGCAGCTGCCCATGGCTTTGACAAACGAACCGTCGGGAAGCTGCCTGAAGATGCCCCGTAAGGTCTCCAGTTCACGCGTGAGGTGCTCTACCCTCTTCCGCAGTCTCTCGTTATCTGCCGACAACTCGATCACTTTGTGTTGCGTCTCCACATTGCGCATTTTCGCCTTGTCCCGGCTCTTGCGCACGGCTACGTTGTTGCGCTCCCTCCTCAGCCGATACTCGGTGCTGTTCTTGTCGATGTGTTTCTTGGATTTGCCTCGATCGCCCATCTTCATGGAGCCCCCAGGCAGGTGACTGTGTTGGTGATGGGGACTGGGTACGGGCGTCGGGGGAGGTGTGGGATGACCCGGCTGGAGGTGCATGGTGGTTTGCGCGCAGTGCGCGATCTGGTGCTGCAGGTACGACAGATGCGGCGCGTGGTGTTGAGAGTGGTGGTATGTGGGGGGCATCGAGTGGCCGAGCTCATCTTCCTCCCGGGGCTCTTGTTTGATGGCCACGGGTCTCATTCGCGCCTGGCTGTCGTAGATGGGCTCTAGTTTGGAGGAATCCATGTAGCCGTTCAGACAGCCGTACATCTGAGGGGGCCCCGGTGTGCCACTGGCGCCGTGGGGGTACTCGTAGTCTCCGCTCGCCAGCTTGAGCTTTTCTTGCTTGGAGCTGTTGTGGAATAAGTCAGCCAGGAACTCGTCGTTGAAGGCAGAAGGGTCTATGTAGGCGCTGATGTCGATGGAGTTCTCGTTCTCGCAGATCTCGCTCAGGTCTCCAGCGGTGTCTTTGTAGGTATAGGCGTTTTGCTGACTCTGTACAAGGCTGGTCATCAGTGGCCGTGGGGCGACCTCGTAGAGGTTTGCTTTCTCCATGGAGTATCTAAAGCCCGCCAGACATGGTGAAGAGCTCCGGGAATCCAGCTTGTTCGCAGTACCGGAGAAAGCCGTGCTGGCTCCAAGTTCTCAGGACAGGCGAGCGCGCAGCCCGTCGTGGCTGTGTACTCGGCCGTAAAATGGATTTGAGTGTAAAGGCTGAAACACCACACGAGATCTCCTTTAAAATGACACTAACACACTCAGCGTGAGAGATTCACATCTGTCAAGTACTTTTCTGAGTGCACTTATATAAGGTTTGGAGTTTGGAGGGCGGGTGTGCTCTGGGTCCTAACGCTTCTCTGCGTGATCTTTGCGCGAGGGCTCAGCGCACGCACTGATATCGACCTGGTCTTTACAAATGTCAATTATTATTGAATTATAGGTGAAATAGGCTAGTACGCGATCGTTTCATATAACTGATAAAAAGTTATCATAATATAATGTTTTTTTTTTTCATAAAATAATAACAATAATGTTCTTATAATGTTTTATGTTTTTGGCACTGCATATGAATTGTACATCAGATTTTGAGATTTAATGGGTCTACTATTGTAGCAGCCTTTGGATGTGGGAACTAAAATGCATGTTTTAAATTCTCAATGCATGAGGGAAAAATTGAGCGCAGACTAAACTGGCATGATACCTATTACAATGGCAAAACGGGTACGGACATTATATGTAACGGATATTATATGAATGAAATACAAATGCTAAACTAGAAAAGTCATTATATAATTGGTAAAAAAAAAATTGTTTGTGGCATAAACGAGAGAAAGAACGAAAGACTGAACAAAAAAGAAAACATTATTGCTATTGCCTTAACACTCAGTCGCCTGCATTAAAACGCACCATGAAGCCTATAATTATGGCATATGAAATTGTTTTGATGAATAAGTTAAGCCAGTTAAGTTCGGCTCCACATTAAATCTCACAAAAAAAGAAAGAAAACACCCGCCACAAATGTTTTCTTTTTGTGTGTGTGTGCATCTAATGAAGGTTTATTTTATCTTCGTGTATTTTATTTGGTGTGTCTGTTCTTTTATTTTCCTCTGACCGCTGCTGCAGAATTGTACCATGATACGATCCATTATTTTCTAAGCGGTTGGGAGAATCTTTGCGCACAACAATGAATACGACCACTTTGCCAAAACAAACAGTGCAGCACACGTCTCACCTAGTGCGAGAGAAGCTGGAGAGCACACAGCAATCTTGAGAATTGAATGCGCTGTAGTTGGAGCGCGCGTATCGGCGCTAATCAGTGCGTGCGCAGTCTGGTAGCTCCCTCTATTGTCACAGCGAGAGCCTGGCACTTACCACAACCGAAAGAATAAGACGAGAGGCCATAAGACATGTAGCCAGCAACAGATAAGTTATACACATTGCGTTTTTTCTGTTTTGGTCTACCCTATTTTACCATATCAAAATTAGAAATTACCATATGAAGCTATGTAGCAGCCTAACACGTTGTTACATGTTATGTCTTTCATATCAAAATAAATGAATCCTTTCATTAGGTCCAAATGTCCAGTCATTTCTAAATATTACGACATTAAAGATTAAGAGATGAAAAATAAATTAAATAAAACGGAACCAAAGGATTCTGGAGGGCAGTATAATTTAGTGTAATTTGTGATTTTAAGTAATCCAAACGCAAACTCATTTGTGCACATTTGGTGCTCTATTATAAGCAAGTCGTTAACATAACCACATTTTATTTGGCTTGATATACTTCATTTGCTGGTGGTAGGCTGACAATAACAATACATTCCAGAAGTCTAAAGTGCTAGAATTGTCTCTAGAATTGCAAAATTTCAAAATCGCTGCTAGCCTTTCGGGCAGACATTCTTCAGATTTTGGTAGCCCAAGATGAATTCAAGTAGCCCGAATTAAAAAAAAAAAAAGACATCGGCTGAACTTCACTGCGGACAAATCAGGATGATTAAAAACTTCAGTGATCGCTTTTTTTCTGCAAATAACAAGTCAAGAGAGAAGGGGTGCAACGGATCACAAAACCCATGGCTCGGATCATACTGCATTCTCATATCAGATTTTGAGTAACAGATCGGGTCATTTTGCAGATGAGCAAAAATAATTATTTAAATAACAGAATACATCTTTGATACCACAGCAAAAACTACTAGCATATAGGGACGTAACGATTCACTCAACTCACGATGTGATGCGATTCTCGATACTGATTTCACAATACAATTTTCTCACAATTTTTCTTTTTAACAAAATTAGATTTAAGACAAATTATAAATGAAAAGGTGTCCTTTTATTATTTCTCC